GGGGGGGTCGGGCCTTGGCGCGCGCCTGAGGCGAGGCCGGAGCTGTGGGGGGAGGCGAGGGTGAGAAGAAAGGAGGGGAAGGAAGGAAGGAAGGTGAGGCGCGGTGGCGGCGGCGGAAGAGGCGGAGGGCGCAGGCGCAAGCGCGCGCGCTAAGGAATGCGGCGGCGGTGGCGACGGTTGAGGGCCGACATAACAACGGGGGTCAAAGGTCCGCGAAGGGGCGGGCGGGAAAAAAAGGAGGAGGACGACGAGGGGAGAAGGAGAAGGAGGGAGGCGCGAGCGAGGCAGGAAGCGCGAGCGGGGAGAGAGAGGAGCGGGGCCGTGACGGAGGCGCGCGCGCTCTTGGGTGCGTGCGTGTGTGTCTGCCTGTCTGTGTGAGGGGAGCCGTGTTGTATGCGTGTCGTCGTCGTCGCCCCCCTCCGACGGTGGCTGCGAAGGGACAATCCCTGACGAAGACAACAGGCCGGGGGGGGGGAGGGAAAAGGGAGCGTCCGCCGCCCTTTGCGTGGGGTTTGAAGGAAAACAAACCGCGGGGGTCGATGGGAGTTGTAGTCCCCGTGAGGGAAAGGGAGCCGTCCGCGCTGAAGGAGAGGCCGCCGGCCGGATCTACAGCTCCCAGAATGCCCCGGGGGTGGGCGGGGAAAGAAGCCGCGGCCCTCCCAGACGGCCAAGCGCTCGCGAGGCGAGGGGTGCCGCGGTGCATGATGGGCCGCTCCGCGCATATATCTGCGGCGCGGGAGGGGCGCTGCCACATCCGGGTCCTGCCGCAGCCGCCCCGCCATTGGCCGGAGGGAGCCACGACGTCAGGGCCGGATATAGGGGGCAGTGATGGGGGGGCGTTTTCGGCCTCTAGTGGCGGGGAGTTCCACTGGCCCTTCCGGACTGGAGAGTCCGTTTAAGACAAGGTCATAACACGTTGCTATACCTCTACAGCCCCCGACAATATAAAATTTAAAAATAGTGAATAAATCCACTTCATCAGTATCTTTTAATATCTCATATTATTATCCTCTCAAATCTACTTTATTATTATTATGCCCCAAAGAGGGATCTACTAAAAGGAAGGACAGGATTGCCCATTGGAAACAATGGGAGACGCTGGAACGGATTTTCCATTAGGGTCTCTGGGCCCAAATACACTACTCTGGGGATGGAATGACAGGGCCATGGAGTGGAATGACAACCCCAGGGAGGAGCAGGAGTGTTCAGACACTGGAATGACAGGGCCAAGAGTGGAATGACACCCCCTCCCATTGTTTCCAATGGGCAATCCTGTCCTTCCTTTTAGTAGATCCCCTCAAAGGACCCAGGAATCTTGCAGGCTAACACATGAAGGTGGACAACAAATTTTAGAGTCCAGGGGCACCTTAAGACCAAGGTGGTGGTGGTGGTATTATTATTATTATTATTAATAAGTGTGCGGACTCTAATCTGGGAGAACCGGGTTTGATTCCCCACTCCTCCACTTGCACCTACTGGATGACCTTGGGCAAGCCGTAGTTCTGACAAGAGCTGTTCTTGAAAAAGAGCCGTTTCTGTCAAGAGCTCTCTCAGCCCCGCCTACCTCACAGGGTGCCTGTGGTGGGGAGGGAGAAGGAAAGGAGTTTGTGAGCCGCTCTGAGACTCCCTTGGGTAGTGAAGGGCGGGGTATAAATTCAATCTCTTCTTCTTCTCTTCTCCTTCTTCTCCTATAGACAAGATTGCAGGTAAATGTGAAGGGCAAACGAGTAGTCATACGGGATCTCATACCAAATTGGTGCGCAGGCGGTTCCCTTTGATTACATATTTTGTGGGAAACAATCTATTACCCTCAAACTGTAACTATTTGGAGCGGATACATTTTTGATTCACAGTTGTTTAGTCAGAGTTCTCATCACACAAGTATTAGATGTGAAAAGTAGAGACGAGTATAAGGCGAGTTATGTGCAATGTACAGATACTGAGTTGAAATTGATAGAAAACACAATGTACTATATCTTTCAGTATGCATGTTTGTATTGTATTGTTTTAATTAAATAAAATTTTGGAAACCCCCCCCCCAAAAAAAAAAGTGCTGAGGGAGACAGTGGAGGGCCCAGCAGCTACCCATCTGCGCTGCCAAGGGTGTCTTTGGCAAGCCTGACTCTCCGCACCAGGCACCTCTGTGTGTGCATGTAGTAAAGGTGGTTCTCCCTTGGGGGGGGAGGAGAGGGGGGGAAAAGGTAGGTTTAGGTCTTGAAGGACACTGCGCTCCCCATATTTGACAGGGTGCTGCTGACCCCCTTCAGAGCCAAGGGGTTATACTGGACCAATGCTCCCTCTAAGCTGTGGTGTCTTGTGAGCAAAAATTCTACTTTGTGAGCTACTGGCATTAAAGTTGTGAGCGAGTGATTTGGCCACTGCATGAATTAGCTTGCTCTGGAGCCCTGCCCTTCCTGAGCTAAGACAAAAATGTGTGAGCCAGAGGCTAAAAAACTGTGAGCTAGCTCACACTAACTCAGATTAGAGGGAACACTGTACTGGACTCAGCATTATTGCTGGAGAAGCCAGTTAACGAGACTGCACAAACGCTTCCTTCAGGCTGGAAGACGGTCCATACCTCAACTCAGCTAATCCGCCCATGTAGGTCCATGCTACAGTTATCTTGAGGGAAGACTACTGCCATGTACTCCTCATGGGTCTGCCTTTGTAGTTAACTCAGACACTCCAGCTGTGACAGAACGCCACAGCTCACTTATTATCAAGACCAGAGTATGCCCATGGCACAGCAGGGACCAGAGTATACCCATGAGCTCAATTTTGCAATCACTTCATTGGCTACCTATCAGTGACGAGGTTCAATTTCGGTGTAATGGTTAAGTGCGCGGACTCTCATCTTGGAGAACCGTGTTTGATTCCCCCACTCCTCTGCTTGCACCTGCTGGTGTGACCTTGGGCAAGCCATAGTTCTGATAAGAGCTGTTCTTGAAAAAAGAGCAGTTTCTGTCAAGAGCTCTCTCAGCCCCACCCGCCTCACAGGGTGTCTGTCATGGGATGGGGAAGGGAAAGGATTTTGTAAGCCACTCTGAGACTCTGAGTGAAGGGCAGGGTAGAAATCCAATCTCTTCCTCTTCTACCTGCACAAAGTCCTTCCGGCCTCGGGCCCACGCATCTGCAGGGCCCACTCTCCTACTACGTTCCACCGAGTGAGCATCACTCATTGTCCAGCTCATGGTGAGTACCAACATTTGCCTCCCAGCCCTATAACCCCCATGGCCGGCATCAGGGCTATTTTTGGGCAGGAACGCACAGGAACGGAGTTCCGGCTGGCTCCCGAGTTGGCCACGCCCAGCAGGAACTCATTAGCATAATAGGCCACACCCAACAGCAGAAGCTCATTAGGATTGGCTACATTAGGGGTGTGTGGCCTAACATGCAAAGGAGTTCCTGCTACAAAAAAAGGCCCTGGGTTTTGACAACAAAGAAGGTAAACAGAATAAGAAGGGAAAGGTGGGTGTGGCTGGATGACCACACTTCTGGCAACACGGGGGTGCGGCCTAATGTGCTAATGAGCTCTTCCGCTAGGCCTTTGAGGAGGAGCCACCTCCACCATTATTTCATCTTCGTCCCCTATGCACTACGTTAACATCATGACTGCCTGGCCCCCATCGGAGGAGCAAGGCGCCTGGGCACAGTTTTAGTTGACAAGACTTGAGAAAGTAGTTGCGGAAGTTAAGAGCTATCCATCTTGGCCCAATCTGTTTGTAAATTTTTATTGTGTTTTATTGTAATTTATTGTTTTAATTATGTATTGTTGTTTTTACCTTGGCACATGGTGCCCTTGTGAGCCACCCTGAGCCTTCGGGGTAGGGCGGGATATAAATCCAAATATAAATAAATAAATAAATAAAATAATGAGCTGTGCTGTCAGGGGTGTGGCCTAATATGCTAATGAGCTTCTGCTGTTGGGTGTGGCCTATTATGCTAATGAGTACCTGCTGGGCTTTTTCTACAAAAAGAGACCTGTGAAAGACTATACCTCGCAGGATGCCTTATACTGCAGCGCCTCCCCCATTCCTTCCGGTGGGTCCTCCAGCCCGAGTGCGTGAAGCAACATGAGGGGGATGGTCCACAGTGCTGGAGAGGTTTCCCAAAGCAATCCCTGTACTCTGGTTCGAAAGGAAAGGCAGCCAGGGTACTGTGCTCCCCCCCCCCCCAAACTTCCTGCCTCAGACCACCTTCTAGTTGGGAGCAGAGATGTAAAATTTCCGGAAATTTTGAAGCTTGGGAAAAAACACGTTTGAAATTTTCGAAAAAATTGAAAAAAATGCTACATTAGCACTTTTTTTTTCTTTTCCAGATTGAAACCCGTTCTGTTTCTTTAGGAACATAAAATATGACTATGGACATTTTTACGTTGCATGAAATCATCACAACTAGCATATTAAAAATAGAGTGTGTCCAAACAATGATTACGAACAGAATACCCACCCACATGCAAAAACAAAACTGAAACCTTTTTCTTTTCTTGTGACAATAGCACCTCCTAAAGGAAGACATGCATCTTGTTCTTGCGTTGGAGAGTTCGGCTTGTAACCTAGGACTTGCTTGTCCTCGGTGCACAGAAATTAGATCAATCTGATACCATACTTATTTTTTAGAAATGATTTGGAAACTATTTGAACACCTTGTCTTAAAATATTTTATTCATCATGTTAAAATAAAATGTTCCATAATCAATTTTTTCTTCTTCAATTTTTCCAATTTTTTGGAAAAAAACAAAAAAGGCTTCAGGAAAAAAACAGTTTTTGTCCTAATTTTTCCAGTTTTTTTCCGGGCCTTCACATCTCTAGTTGGGAGAAGGATGTGCCAGCCACTCAGGGTCAAGTTTAAATAGGGCAGTGCCCAAGTTTTAGAAACACGGACTCGGTCTGGCTCTGCCCAAGGCTGACACTGCGGCCCACTGGGAAGCAGAACGGAAAGGTCTTGAATTCCAAACCCCACCCCACCCCCCAAAAAATACACAAGCTGATTTCCTTTCAATTCGTCTGCATTTTTAATACCCCGGTTAAAAGCCAGGAGGTAAAAGGGGCCAACAGGAAGTCAGTTGGCAAACCACCAAGGACTCAAGGAACAGAGTGGAATAGAAAAAACGGACCCAAGATAAAAAATCTCTTACCAGCAAATACACGGCTCCTCTACACACCCGTGAATCGGAATTGTCACTTGCAGAAACGGAAGTAAACACAAAGGGAAAAGAGAGGCTTTATTGTTATTATTTTTTACATACAATAAACCCGACTCATTTTATTACACATCTTTAGGAGCACTTTTACATTCCTATATGAGAGAGATGATAACAGACCCGAGCTGTAAAATCTATGGAGAGAAATGACCGAGGGACGTGTTTGCTGTTTGCATACAGACTGAGAGAGGAGGCGGTGGCCGAGGTCCTTCCATGGAGCTGTGAAACCAGTACAAAGACAGTGGTACCCATTGTGCGCCACCTACCAGGTACTACCCACTGCTGTGCTTTCGCACAACTCTTACCCGCTCTGATGGGCCCTGCAGGAGAGGCATACCTGGAGGACTGGACCTAAGGGATGTAGAACCAAGAGGCAGCAAGCAACCCAGCCTTTCAAAACTGAGCCACCAGTATACAGCTCAAAGCAGCCAAGTGGCCACACATCTGACCGGTAACCACGCAAGCCTACGACTGCGGCTTTCACATTCCTTTTTTCTTCTGCATCTGCCTTCAGGTCTACCGGTAGAGGAACGGAGTCATGAGACTTACGGGCTTTTTCTAAAGTCTATGATAAAACATTCGACCCACAGACAAGAGAAGAAAAACTTGCAGAGATTTAAAAAAAAGAAAAAGAAAAGAAACCCAATGATTTTTCTAAAACCCGCTGAGCATACCTATGCTCACTGAGGGACGGCTCGAGACCCGGAGCCTGATCTCCGCGTCGCTTCTTTGCGGTGTCGAGGGTTGGCGTGGAGAGACGCAGGATGTGATCGTGGGCAGGACAGTGTTTCACCAAAAGTCCGTCAGGCTCACGCTAAGCCTTTAGAGAAAGTGCGTTAGTTGCTGAGTGGATCAGCGGCGTTTGGCTCTGGATCTCAGGATGGATCTTGGGAGATCCAGCCATGAAGATCCAAGCAAGGACAGGCTCCTAGGCACACATCACTTCTTAGGCCTCAGTCAATCTCTTGGTCCTGCCCCAGACCTTGGAGGGACTGCACAAAAACGGGATTTATCAGCCTGTCGGCATCATTCCGCGGGCGTGGCAGTTTTTACAGGAAGCGCTCTCCCTTCTTCCTCCTGCACAGAGGGCGCAACTATAGTGAGGCAGTGTGAAACTAGCCTATTTTGCCCCCTCCTCCTCAAATCATAGGCCCGCCACTGAAGAGGGTACTGGCTATCGCTTCTCCCACTGCCTCGTGGAGCAACTGTTCCTGGCAAGCCCACTGGTGCCCACCAAGGTTCCCTCTGCCTTCCCCCTTCGTACCAGAAAGCGCATCCCAAAGAATCCCAAGTATGGTTCTAAGCACGCGTGTCCAAAGAGGCCTTAGGCCCAGAGATGTGCAGCTGCATCTCTGTCCACAGGACTGCCTTTGCATTCAAGACCGCAGCAGCTCAATACTCAAGTCGTATAACGCTTTTCTTAAATAAAGTCAAGGGGGGTTGAAAACCAGAGAGGGGGTGGAAGGGAGTGAGGCAGGCGGGACCGATGGGCTCAAGAGCTACAGCAAGAAAGACCGGCACAGTGGCAGACAGTCCCCTCCTCAACCACAGGCGTATTCCTCTGACCCACAGAAACCATATTTTAAAAGGGGGGCAATCCGGTCCCAGTTCCAGGAATCCACTCTGGAAATCGAGGCTGCCGTGCCTTGTCGGCTCTTGCGGAGGCACCGTGCCAGCAAACTGCTTTGCGCTGCCTTTGCCGATGGGTTTGGTCACTAGGGGATCTGCACATCCCGGAGCGCGGGTCGTTCAGGAGTACACTTAACGAGGACACGAGGCAGAGGCTGCACACCGGTAAGAGCATTCCTAAAACGCCAAAGCCGAGTTCCCGTACACACACACGCACATTGCACCACAGAGTCTGGGGAGAGGCGGATTAAAACATTCGGAGAGGGGGCCGGGGACGATATTCACAGTACAAACCGTTCAGGTCAAGAAACGAAAACACCCCCGCCACCCCAAAAAAGGAAAGAAAAATATTAACAACGGAATTCTCAATATACATCAGTTTTAAAACTTACAAACCGAACTGCGAAACGATACGCAGAGGAAGGGGCGCCCTTTCTGGAGCCTCCGGACCCCCACCCAACTTCAGCAGCGCTGCTTCCCGTGTGCTGCTCGGTAGCCTGCTTTACTCAAGAGGGCACCTTTGGGGGGGGGGGAAGAAAACAACAGAGGGACTGCCTACAGCTCTTAATTCAAGCTTCGCGGCTGCAGCCGGCCAGCCCCTTCCTCCCCTTGAGTTCTGCTCAAGCCCCAACCTCATTCCTGTTCACGGGGGACAGCCTGGGACCGGGAAACGGGAAGCTCAGGATGACGACGAGAAGAAACTCTGCTCTTTACGGTCTTCTCTGCTCCCCAAGGAACATCCTGGGTTTTGCAGGGCATAGCGCAACCAGGTGGAGACTTGGGACTTCTGTCCTTGGGGTGCGGGAGAGTAGAACTGGCCTCCGGAAGCCACACGGGGGAGCGGAAGACGGTGACGGCCACGGCCACGCTACGCCCAAAGGGAAAGGTCTACGGTGAAGCACGTTAGGAGAAAGGGGGATGAAGGCTAGCATGGACAGCATGGGAGAAGGTCATAGTTGAAGTCGGTGGGAGTTCCACCTAGAAGAACTCTTCCCCCACCCTTGTAAACAGGCAAAGGATTTATCGAATTTATATTGCTTCAGTGGGGGGGGGGGGGGGGAGGCTTCCAAACCTCCTTTGGTCTGCATTTCTAAAAAAGGAAAGACGTCTAACTAAGTCGCAGGATGCATGTCGGTTCTGCCTCTCCCTTTCCTGCCCACCCCCCCAAAAATGAAAACAAGAGAAAGGAAAGGCACCGTCCGCCGTGGCTGGGAAAACCCTCCGTCGTTTCTCAACCTTTCTAGATATTTGGCGTCATGAAGCCCCGGAGAGTTTGGTTCTTCTGAGATGACTTTTGACTCCACCCCTTGCCCCCGAAGGGCAGGAGAGGTGGAAACACGGCAAGCCCCCCCCCCCAAC